CCTGAAAGTGTTACACAGATTCATTAGGTAGGATTGATTACGTGATCTAGCTCTGATAGAGGATTACCTTACAAAAGTAAGATCTATCTTGGAATCAGCCCATACAGTATTAAAATATTGATTACAAGACTCTTAGTTATTTGTTTAGTACATTTAGAGGGGCAGGTCTTTCAAACCACCCGTAAGTTGTAATAGCCTTTCAACCTATCTGCAATTTATTTCCCCCTCAAGGGATCTTTTGATATACATATACTTTACCGTGTCTATCCGTCCCAGGAGTCCTACACCGTGTGTTACTTGGGCGCGCAACACCTCTGAGAGTGACTTTTTTTGTACATAAATAAGAGGTATCTTGTTGACTCAGCTAGAGCTAAGTTAGACTTGCTGTACAGCCAAAATCAAGGGGAGGTGTGACCACCTCGTTGAATCAGCGTGGTTAATGACCTTGTTGAATCAGAGTGGTTGCTTAGGAATTCCAACTCTTTGATACCTACAACTAAGCCCATGGGGACTTTGCACACAGGCAGGAGGGTTCTCATTTAACAGATGTCCTGGGAGTACCTGGAACCAGTCATTGCAATCCAAATTTGCCTCTCTTCATCCTGAAAATCCCATCTTTTTCCACACAACGTACTTCATCTCCCCCTCGTATCAACATCCTCCTATACGGAAGATGTCAACCCACTATGCTTGTCCTTACTTACCTACTTGCAGTGATCTCAAATATAGCAAGAACCCTTGTGATCAACACTGTTGCCTGAATGAATCCAGCGTGAAAAGCCATACCTTGAACCCCAAAATCCACACTAATTGTAACCCTGATTGTCCGGCATATGGAGCCAATGGTAAGCATGAAGTTGTGATCTGTTATGTATACAAATTGGATTAATGTTTCATGCTTTTCTCAGCCCAATTGTTAGAGTACTTCCCCTTTCAACCATTTGGCAACCGCCCACACCGCTTGACACAATATCGCCGTCCGATACAAACATGCCACCTGATTCAAACATGCCTCCCGATTCAAACATGCCGCCTGATCCAAGTGCAAGAGGCACAAGCCATTGATACTGATTCCGTTATCAACTCACACAAGAATTCAGAAGAAAAAACCAGGGAAGGCTGCCAAATCTTGAGTTCAAACAAGGTCAAACAATCACGTAAGTCATGGTCATTTGAGGGCTTAAGTCTACCTCAAAACCCTGACTGTTTGTTGTTAAATTATGTAGACATGTTGGACAGCATGCGGAGAATGCTCCGAGTAATTGCGTATGTTTTCTTGGTTGGCACCTGGTCAAAAATCTTCTTTTCCCTACAACTGGACAACACCGGTCCAAGATTAAAATACATGTGCACTCTCACATGTTTTCACTTTTGCTCCATCCTGCTACTCATCATCCAACTCAGAGCAAAGGAAGAGTTCTGCCTGACTGCTCTTCAAATATGTTTATGTCTAGGTTGTTTTTTGAATCTTATGTGTTTGGAGAAGAGTTTTTTGAATCCTATGTGTTTTTTTTATGGGTGTCCTGGGGAGAGCAGGAGGGACCTTCTGGGTTCTGGTTCTTGATGGTAGATTGGAAGATGAGGAATGTACAAGGTGTGGATCTCAAACAAACTCCAAGTTCGAAGTTTGTGACATGTACGTAACAGGCTCTCTACATATATGTAATGTCCCCAGTTCCAGTCCTCCACAGCTCATAACAGTTTTAAGAAGATGTTAGATGGCTGGACCATGATGATTGTTTAATTTCATCCTTCTTTCACTACAAGCAATACCCATTTTGCCCCAACAATAAATGGCAATTTGGGTGGGGGAAAATGGATCAATTTTCTGGCACTTTTTTCCAAAATGCCTCAGGAGTAGAAATGAGGCTAAACTGAGCTATTTTAGCCCAGAGATAGAAATTCATCAAACATTCCAAAATGAATTTTTAGCACATTTGAGGCATTTTTATTTTTTGGCTAAAATAGCTCATTTTAGCCTAATTTTTTACTCCTGAGGCATCCTGTAAAAAAAGTGTCAGAAAATTGATCTATTTTCCACCATCCAAATTGCCATTTTTCCTTGGGGCAAAATCAGTATTGTTTGTAGTGTTTGTATGCTTGATGTTTACCCATTTTATAATTATTGAAACTTGAAGCCTAAAAAAATCCAGGAGTAAAAAGTGGGTATCCAACTAAGGATTCTGGAATCTGTTGAGATCTTCCCCGCGCAAATCTTGTTCATGGCAGCTTTTTGAATATTGGATAACAAGGTGTAGGTGGACAAACAACACAAAAAAAGACTGTTTAGACCAATTTTTTTTCAATTAACATCATTCGGCGCTTGATGAAATTGTCTGTCATCCGAGTTGGCTAAGGTAAAGGGTTCAAAGTCAAATTTGTGGGCTCAATAGGTACGGATTCTCAAACATGAACATGTAGAATTTCTTTGGCATGAAACCCACAAGTTGACTTTTTTTCTAATTGGCAGAACCTCCAGAGTTATTCTATGATCGTGGTAACCATTTTGATTTTCACACTCTTAGCCTGTGCTTATGAGACAAATTATCAGAAGTTTGGTATTGTATTTTGGGCCCTCCTTAATTGGCATAAAGCAGACCATCCGGGGCCTGGTCTGCACCCAGCTCACCAAAACAATTTTTTTGGTCCACCAAAATGAATTCTTAATGTTGGTCATTGATCAACTAGTGTAGCACCACCATAGCACACCACAAGCCTGCCAACCGGAAAGTTGTCAATATGTTGGTGGGTGGTTATCTGCAGATCAAAACAAAGGAAAGTCTTGGGATACATGGATAGGTTTAGGCCACCTCTCATCCTTTGATATTCAATATTCCATGATCCATGTCAGCAATCCTCTGATACCTTGGTGGGCAGCCCTCAGACTCAAATAAAGCCTTTTTTGTCAACCACTCGTCTCATTTCCCCCTCCCCCCCAACATTCTAGTTGACTTGATTTCCCTGCGGTGATCAACCAATTTCTACATCAAGCTCCTTCATCCATCTCTTATTATACATCAAGCTCCTTCATCCAACCTTATTATATCATGTGCCCTAATTCAAACAGGCAAGGTGTGTACTGTACACCCGTACACAAGGCTGTGGATCCAATACTAATATTCCTTGATCATCACCAATTATTTAGATGCCTCTGTCACAAGCGCTGGCAACAACACCAATGATCAAGGTATGTCTTTCCATCATAAGATTATCTTCTCTGTTTCTTGTGTTTGTCCTATTTATTTGTATTCTAATCTTGCCGTAACAGGGACTACCGGCAGGGCAGCTAGTGCTGGGGAGAAACTTAATGATCTCGAGGAAATTTGTGCTGGCAAGGAGCAAGGTACCGGCAAAGAACATGGTTCTGGCAACGCCCATGGGTTTATTAATGAACATGACAAACGGTCCACCAGACCCAAGCACGACGAGCAAGGTACGTCTTTCCCTCTTTTGGTTTTCTCACATTCTATATTATGATACTTCTTTCTGATCTGGCCTCATCTGAAGGAACTGCAGCGGAGTCGCATGGGCTCTTTACGAGTGGAGAGCTTGCAGAGGCCCTCAGAGTGTTGTTCAACAAGGGCAAGATAGACATTTTTCGATGTTCATTAACGTCCGGCAAGCTTGATCAAGTGATTCAAACGCTACTCTTCACCTACGACTTGACCTCCCCTTTGAACATGGACTACATTGACACACCCACAGGCAAGATCCCACGCCACTACGAGCTTGAAATGCTTTTGAAACAATGGTGCGCCAAGGCAGAGTTTGGATTTTGGAATTATTATTATCCCAATTACATTGCCTATCAAAGCAAATACGACAATGGTAACTTTGGAGGTGAGTTGGAGACAGTAGGTGATGGCGGCAAGGATGATGCTGGTTTTTGATGTTGTCAAGCCCCAGTTGGCTTCATTGAAGGGACAAATTCTAATGGTTGGACCTGGACCATCATCCACCAGCCTTAACCTTATTGATCCTTATTTCTTTGTAACTAGTCCCTCCACAAAAAATACTTCTCTTATCCCTTATCATAGCCTGCTGCTGCTCTCATATCCTATTCTAAGCCTGCTTCCACTCTGATATCCTATCTTGTTCTTTTATTTAGCCTGCCGCTGCTCTTCTATTCCATATTATGTATTGGAATACCGTAGTTTGCTAGGAATACCATTGTTTGCTTGGAATACCATCTTGATGTCACCAATGATCCATTTGTAGATAAATAGATAGAAAAAAAGGGCTGAGTTGAGGAGTAAGATTAAGGCGTTTATGAGCAACATTTTATTAACTTTTTGAGTTTTTCCGATTTATTGGATTCTGAACCTTCTGTACATCACAGAAAAATTCTAAATTTATGATCAGAAACACCTTAAAAATGGCCTTAAAGTTCACTCGTGAACCCCCCTATTGAATATCTGAGATATTACTGAGCTGAAAAAATTAGTTTAAAAAAAGCTGTGGAAAAAAATTCAGAAAGAAAAAGATAGTTATGGCTGAGTATGCTGAGTATGCCTGAGGAGAAGACCTTGCTGAGTAGTCAAAGAACAGGTTGAGGAGTTCAGAAAAAAAAAACTAAAAACTAAAAACCCCAGGTGGAGTTAGAATTGCAACAACAGATGCACCCACTTTCCAATTTTTGTGTAGAAGATGGAAAAATGACCAATTTTCAAAATTAAATCCCATGGTAGAGGCCCTTAATTAGATTCAAACTTCTTGCAACATTCCAATCAGTTCAATGAGGGGAATTGGAATAAATAAAAAAACCTTTCAAAATAGCACAATATTGGGCTTCAAGTCTTTGGAACTGGAGTAGCAGTCTCATATTTGTCAGAATTGTCTAGTTTCAAGGACCTCAGTGGGCCATAATTAACGGGCTTGGGTTCCTTCACAACTTTCTAATGACTAACAACCACACCCTACAGGACAACAAGGGCTTTTCTTCTTTCTTCTTGTTCTTTTCTCTACGCTCCCTGTTTCAAGGCTCCCAAGCCTCCACATTGTTCTGTATTGGCCTCCGTGCTGTTTCTCTCTAGTTTCACGCGCCTCAGGGTTACTTCCCTGGGGCTTTCAGCGCTGTCTCTTCCTTATCTCTAGTCTTGCTGGCAGGGTATAAATAGACCCTGCCTGACGTGTTGTTTTCATTCCTCATTCATACATGTAGCTTTGATTACATAATCAAAACCATAGCTTTCACACACCTTTTTCAGCAACTGTCACAGCTTTACATAGTACCCCTTAGACCTGTAACAAGCCCGGTTACATTTGTTCATGACTGTTGGAATGTGTGTGATCTTGGGGCCGATTGAGTAAGCTGGTAACCAATTGTAACAAGCAGAAGAAGAGGGTGGAATTCCATGCACAATTTCAGGCACAAAAAATTGGTGTTGACATGCCTACATTACAATCTATCCGCTGGCAATGTTTGAATTATTACCCCAACACACATCTCTATCCAACAGTCCCCTTCAACAAAGACACCAACAAACCTCTTCAACATCCAACCCCTGATGAAGTCTCCAAGGCATGTGAGCTTGCAAATCAGAAGTTCTTCCTTATGAATTTTGGCCGCGCGTATATAGTGGATCCTAATGATGAAGACTCAGTCATTGCTGTCATGGATTTCACCCCTTGGGATCAGTTAAGTGAAACCAACAAAGAAAACCTCAACTTCATTTTGGCTTTTCTTCATCAATCCTTTGGGCTCTTTGACCCACTCTTGGGGTGGTTAGTTGTTGGGGATTGGTTGGAGAAAGTCTCAGGAATTTATGCAGATATTTGGAATATATATCAAAAGTTTCCTCCTAGTAAGATGGAAAAGTTTGATAATCTTTTCCAAAAATCAAAACATCTGGGTGAAATTCTTGGTGATTATTATAGATTTTTGTCTTCCTGTACATTTGACCATAACCATAATCTTATGGAACATTTTAATCTACCATCTTTTATTTCACTTTCCTTTGGCGAAAAGCCTGGTCCCAATTCCTGTTCACCTCATCTCACTTTCACTACAGATAATTTTTTCAATCCTCCACGTAAAGATCATAATGATATATCCAAGTGGGCTTTTGTTGTGTTTATTCCCATCTACTTGGCTACTGGCAAATTAGCCGGTCCTGATTCTGGTTACAATCTTAAAGGTGGTCCTTTTGTTCTCCCTACTTTCCATAATGGTATTAGTTTTGACAAACAGCACACTAGTATTGTTAAAATGATTTGGCAAGCCAATAGGTATGTTATGAGTGTTCTGGGGAGAGCAGGTGAGGGTCTTCAGGGCTCTGGTTCCTGATGGTAGATTGCAAGATGAGGGAATTATAAGGTGTGGATCTCATACAAACTCCTAGTTTGAAGTTTGTGACATGTAGGTAACAGACTATGTACATATGTAGCATCCCCAGTTCCAGTCCTCCACAGCTCATAACAAAGTATAGACATTCTCCTCTTCCTTACTTCTCCCCATCTGGTTTTACAGAGCTTACTTGTCTTGGTTTATCACTTCAGATTACTACTTCTATTGTTAATGCTGTTAAAAAGAAGGCCAAATTTCATTATTATAAAGACCCTCTTCATTACTTTGGTGATCACTTCTAAAGTATTAACAAGTAGGGGGAATATATGAATGAGTATGTAGGAACAATTTCCGGATTGTAATAAAGATTGCCATTGCTTCATAGATCCACAATAGTCCTAGCATGAATGATCTATGTTCAGAACTTCAAGAGTCCAGGACAAGTGTGCCAAGTTATT